GACACATAAGATGTTCAAAGATGTGTGGCCTGAGAAGCTATGGTGCTCTAAGCTTCTACAACACTTTGTTCCCTCAGAGCAGTTCAGATATGCGTGGCAGTGCAGAATTGAGAAAGCAGTCAACTCAATTCATGGTAAGCATTGTAAATAAAAAATCAACACTAAAACCAACACTTTGTAAGTTTCCCTTACAAACTGGACCCCATAAAACCAAAAACGCATTCATCAACATTGTATAACCATACTATAACTGGAGTCCAACTTGGATCAGTGCTAGTTAATCCTGAGAGCTATTAAAACATAGGCTCATAAACTTATTGATAAACTTGGTGGTTGGAAATTTATTCTAGGGAAACAATTATTAATTTCCAACTTTGTGTGTTTGTTGGCTTCGATGAAGGTAGTGCCGATTCTTTTTTTTTCTGTAGAGTTCAGGATTAAGCAGAGATTTTTCTTCTTATGCTGAGAAATGACCATGCTCATGATGTACTATTTTGAATATTGAGTCAACTTTTAAGCATGCATTGTATATATACACAGGGTAGGGTAGTTTATTTAAAAATAGTTAGCATGGCAGTGGAAACTCAGAAAGTCTGCTTCCTAGTAACCACCTGGATCCTGTGAAAATTACTTCAAAAGCAAAGCAAACAAATGCAACACTGACCTCATTACCACTCTGTTAAAAATCTATCAAATTCTCTATAGGAAGCATTACTCATAAACAATAAGTTACAATCCAATAACATCAGGATTATGTGAAAATAATAAGCTGTGGGGCAGGGCCAACAGCTCAGTGGGTAAAGTGCTCGCTGCATGAGGGTGATGACTGAATGCAGGCCAGGCGGGTGTGGCAGATGCCTTCAGTCCTAGGGCTCCAGAGGCCGAGACAGGGCATCCCCAGGGCAAGCTTGCTAGCTAGTGAGATCCAGGTTCAGTGAGAGACCCTGCCTCAAAACACGAAGTAGAGAGGTACTGAGGGAGACAACACACAGTGACAACCTGTAGCTTCTGCAGGCACATGCACACACACACACACATGTACACACACATGTGTACACATGTGTACCTACACATATGCATGCACACTGTACAAATATACATGCACACTAAAGCAGGCACATGTACACACACGTGTGCACACATGTGCACCTACACATATGCATGCACACTGTACAAACACACATGCACACTAAAGCAGGCACATGTACACACATGTGTGCACACATGTGCACCTACACATATGCATGCACACTGTACAAACACACTGCACACACACACATGCCCACACGTGCACCTACACGCATGCACACTGTACAAACACACATGCACACTAAATTATAAAACCATTGCATGTATCCACATATGTTTGACCTTCTTATTCATTTATGGATTACTGTTTTCAAGAGACAGAACAGGAGCTAACTTTTCTAAAATAAATGTGAAAGACTGAGCTTGGTAATTTGCGGTTGTTATGAAATCTTGGGTGAAGGAATCTTTACACCAAGTACATTAAAATATCAACTGGATGTTTTTCAGGTGGCAATTCCATGATTACCTTAAAATTCTGCCTCCTGAATGCCAGAGCCATGGCTGTTCCCTTGGCATGGCAGCTTTTCATGGTATAATTTACTATAATTTGTGTGAATGAGGACTATAGAAGAGCTTCTACAATTAATTCCTCAAATATAAGTTTACAGCAATAAAGTTGCAGGACGGGGTGCAACCAAATTTAACGAGTCATGCTTAACAAAACAAAGTTTAATCATAGTTTCAAAAAAAAGCAACTTATTTTCCAACCATTCAAAAACATGAACAGCCTTCTGGCTGTCATCTGGGGTTTGCACGAAGGGAGACGTCTTGCCAACACGTCTGTTGATTTATTTGAGACTCGGTTTTCACGAGGATGTGTGTAGAGTGACCTGCTGTTCCGAAGGCTGATCAGGGTCATACCAAACCAAAACCACCGTTAATACCTAGCCCTGCAGCCCTTTCAACCTTCAGACTATGTTTTTGCTAACAAATTGCTGGTAAGTGTTTGCTGTGGTAGATATATTTATTAACTCAAGGTGTTTCCTGAGAACAATGCAGCGTTTTAGGGGATAAGAGACACCCATAGGTTTTGAAGGACAAAGAAAAGACTATTACAACTCTGGTATTAGCCCCCACGGTGGGTACCTTCACCAACTACTATTTTTACCATAAAAATCCATGCCATGAGGTTGTGGACATAGCTCACTCAGGAGAAGGGTGCTTGTAAGGGCCTGGGTTCCATCTCTAGCACTGGAGGAAAGAAAATCATCCCATGAGTTCAGACACGATTTCCAGATATGAGACACTTCCAAGACCTTTCCTCTGAAACGGCCATAGTTGCAGGTTTTACAGGACGATGTAGCTTGCAAAGATCTCTGGGCAATTCTGTGAAGCCACCGTTGTCTTCACATTAGCAGTAGAGAACTGAAATCCAGGAAGGGTAGATGTCTGGGCAAGGCCATACAGAGGTGGTAGCTCCTGATCCTAAGACTCATGCTCCCTTGTCATGATGTCATAACAATCTTTTTTGTTTTGTTTTTGTGTTTTGTTTTTCGAGACAGGGTTTCTCTGTGGCTTTGGAGGCTGTCCTGGCACTCGCTCTGTAGAGCGGGCTGGTCTCGAACTCACAGAGATCCACCTGCCTCTGCCTCCGGAGTGCTGGGATTAAAGGCGTGCGCCACCAACGCCTGGCAGGATGTAACATTCTTACAGCTCCTCGTAAACACAGGGCAGCTCAGAGGACACACATTTTTAGGTGGAAATTTTCCTGTCCTGACCGCCTGCTCCCAAATAACAGACACAGAGGCATAAAATAAATTATCAATGCTCAGCTAATAGCTTGGGCTTACTACTAACTACCTCTTACATTTTAAGCTAACCTACCTTCATTATTTACGCTCTGTCGTGTGGCGGGACTGTTACTAGCATGTCACATTCATCTCCAGCTCCTTCTGCATCTATTGACAGCTTCTCCGACTCCACCCTTCCTCATCCGGTCACTCAGTTTTGCTTTCCCACCTAACAGTATCTTGTTCCGCTATTGGCTGGTCAGCTTGTTTATTAAACCGATCACAGTAACATATGTTCACACAGTGTCCAGGGATATTCCACACACATCTTTGAAGAGATGAGCCAGGGCTCAGAGAGAGTTTTGGGGTCCAAGTGAAGGGAAGCAGCTTGGGATCCGGGTGCTGGGAGAGAGGAGGTGTGGAGAGCTGGAGTGAGAAGTGGAGCTGACAAAGGAAGAGTCGGGGCTCTGTGGTAGCGTCTGTCTCTAAGAACAGGACAGCTTCCTCATCCTGTCAAAGCTGAAGCCACAGCCAGAGACTCCACGGAACTCCTCATTGGCCTCTACTCGAACAGTCCCCCATGTGTGCGGCTTGCGCACCGACCCCGTTCTCATCTCAAGTGCTGTTGGTCCCTACGTTTCCTCACGGTTTGCTTTACTTCTGCCTTCATGTCTCCGTTCTTCAATCTTGGGACAGAAATTGAGAAAAGGGAGATTTAGGCTCTTGCCTCTTATGGAAGATTATCATGGGATAATTTTAGGGGGGGGGGAAACCACATGGCACTCACGAGTTCTCTGGATGGACTGGATGGTATAGACAAGAAACGGACAACTAGAAATTTCCTCCTGTCTTGGTTTCTATTATAGTCATTACCAAGTTCGCATGCCGCGTGCCTGACAAACCCCGGGGAGAGCCTGCTTCCTTTTCTTTCTATTTTCCCTTTTCATGTGTGGGGTAAGAGTATGAGTGTGTACACATGTTCATATGTGTGGTGTCTGTGCGTGCAGGGAAGCATGTTCATGCATTTGGGGGATCATATTTCTTCCTCTATTTTATACTTCCTTTGAGTCAGGGTCTCCCAGTGGACTCTGGATCTTACCAAGGCCTTCGCCTCCCTAGCCAGCTTGCAGCAGGGGACTGCTCATCTCTGCTATGAGACAAGCGCTCTCCATGCAGAGTTATCCCCCAGCCTCAGCCCACCTCCCAGAAACTCTGTGGCGTTGGCAGGTCATTACTCCTCTCTGTGGCCCAGCATCCCCATCTTTGAAAGAGAAACAATGGGAGTTTGCCTGGCTCATTCAAAGAGTCACAACATTAAAACACTTTAAAAGACTTTAGAAAAACACATCAGTTGGGTTAAACGTCCAACGAATCTTAGCGATTTATAGAAATTCAAAATCACACCATTCTGCAGACAAGTATAGATTCAGCTAAGAAGACCCAAACATTTTGGAAGTGGCATCTGACAGCACCGCCTTTTCTCATAGGAGCGTCATTCCACAGTAACAATTGATGGCAATTCCATGCGGCAACTAATCTGATTTAGTCACTTTACTCCACTGAGCGGTTTGCCAACACACTACCAGTGGTTATTGTTTTGCCAACAGTGAAAAAGGGTCCCCTTTTCTCAAAACCTTGCCGGCATCTTATTTTCTCTGATTTCATTTTTAGGTAATAGCCATTCTGACTGGGGTAGGTTGCAATCAAAAAGTAGTTTTAATTCATGTTTCTCTGAGGGCTAATGATGCTGAATACATTAAGAAGTGCTATCCATTAATATTTATTGTTTTGAGAACTCTGTAATCACAACCAAAGCTCATTTTTATTTATTTTTTAGTTCTTTGTATTTTTGTATGTGTACATATATATATACATATATACATACATATATATACATATACATATATATGTATATATATATATTTGTATATTTTAGTTCTTTGTATAATTTTAGATTTTAGTCCTTGTTGGAATAATAGCCAGCAAAGGTTCCCCCCATTCTACAGATTACCTCTTCAATCCATTGAGTTTCCAACATGGAATATGGAAGTAGGGGGTAGGACCACTAAACATGAAAAGACTTAAACAGGGTTGGAATAGGGGAATGGGGGAAGATTAACAAAACCTAAGGTTGTATGAAAAACCCGTATAGGAACCTGCTGTTTATAAACTAAACTTGTAGTGTAAAATTAAATTTAAGAGTTTGAGCGTTCTGTAACGTGGGTGTCATGATAATGTATAGTGGTGGCATTGTGACAGCGCTGCTTTCAGAGACCAGAGGCGTTAGAACAAGAGCCTCAGTGCCAGGCACAGGAGCAGGATTCCCCCTTCTGAGTTGTGGATCCATGACATTTCAGGGCCCTCCAAAAGAACACAGGCTATTGCTGCTGCCCTTGGCTGCCCATCAAGACTAGATGATGAGACCATATTGCTGAAGGCACCGTACAAAACTCAGAGAAATCAAGATGGCACTGGGCTGGAGACCCTCTACTGACTCTGACTAGCATATTGGAGGGTGCTGTGCAGGTGGCTGGGGCGGAAAATTCACTCACGGCCTCGTGCAGCTGTGGAACACGTGCATGCACTGTTAAGTTGACCCCTCCCCCCGAAAAATAAGCGGACTACTGTGAGAGTGGCGTGACTATTTTAGGGATAACCAACTGGTCTGTGGTTGGATTTGAGTCCTGCTCCATGGAGAGAATACACACTTGGTACCATCTCCCTGGTCAAAAGCCCCTGGCAGGGGAGGACATGGGCCCGAGTGAGGGACCCCTTCCATTGTTCCTTAAATGGCCACACTGTCAAGCTGCCTCCTAAGCATGTATGCTGTCAGCCTGGGGCAGAGGCGTTTCCTTTGTAGAGGTGAAGATGAATGCTGTGACTCATATCTGGTGAAAGTGTTGCAAATAAGTGGCAGATGAGTGCTCAGCCTTACATGGGACAGCTGTATCCCAAGCGCTCCTCCCAAAGTCTCGGGAAACATCAAAGAAGGAAGTTAAGGGCTGAAGGATGGAGACGGGTGTCTTGAAACCCTGCCACCCAGAGTGGCCTTTCCACATGGATAGATGAGACATTCATGAAGCGTCACCCCTTGTTGCAGAGCCTTTGACTGTTGCTGGAGGAGGCTGTGCTGCTGGACAGCTTCGTGTCAACAGAAAGGAGGGGCCCCCAGTTGAGAAAATGCCTCCAGAAGGTCTGTCTGTCTGTAGACCACAAGCCTGTAGGCCATTCTCTTAGTTAGAGGCTGATGGGAGAGGGCCCAGCCCATTCTGGAGGGAGCCATCCCTCGGCAGGTGGTCCTGGGTTCTAAAAGGAAGCAAGCTGAGAAGGCCCTGGGGAGCAAGCCAGTAAGCATGGCCCCGTCAAGGCCTCTGCATCAGCTCCTGCCCTGCTTGAGTTCCTGTCCTGCCTTCCTCCAATGATGGATCGTGATGTGGAAGTATAAACCAAATGAGCTCTTTCCTCCCTATGTTGCTTTTGGTCATGGTATTTCATAGCAGAAACAGCAACCCTAACTACAGCAAGGGGTTATCATTTTCCTCAATGGCGGCACCTCTGGGAGGACTAAGATAGGAAGAAGTCATTTAAAGCAAGAGGAAGGTGGATGGCAGAGGGCAATGGGGGCTGGATATAATCGGAATATGTTGTATATGTGTAAGGCACTATCAGAAAATTTAAAAATATAATTTTGTCAAGATGAATTCTATTCTTGTTTATTGGAAATAATAAAAATAAAAGCAAAAGGACAGAGTTCTGTTTCTCCGGTCTCCTTTTAAAATTTTATTCTTTTGCTTTTTATTTTATTATTTTGCTTTCCCCCGTGCCCTTGTCTCATTATCAATTAACATAAGCATAATCTTGTACTATATTAAAAATCATCATCAACTAAGACAGATGTGTATGTAGTAGGCTCCAAAATCATGACACTGAGACTTACTGTTAATTATGAATGCTCGGACTTGTTTAGGCTTGTCCAACTAGCTCTTATAACTTATATTAACCTATTTCTCTTTATCTATGTTTTACCTCAGGGCTTTTGCCTTTCTTTCATTCTGTCTGTCCTACTTTGTGTCTGGCTGGCTCCAGACACCGCTCTCTCTTTCTCCCTCATTCTCTTCTCTCTCCTCTTTTTCTCTCTTCTCTCTGGCCAAGCCTAGATTCCACTTCCTACTTATTCTCTCTGTTCTTAGCCCTGCCTATCCCACTGCTGCCTGGCTATTGGCCATACAGCTTTTTATTAGATCAATCAGGTGCCTTAGGCAGGCAAGGTAACACATCTTTACATCATTAAACAAATGCAACATAAACAAATGTAACACACCTTTACATAGTTAAAGATGTAACACATTAATAGATGTAACACATCTTTGTGTAGTTAAAGTAATATTCCACAATGGGCATGGAAGAAGACAGAATTTTAGTAGCTGGTAAATTTTGCTGTCATTTCTTAATATATAATTAGCTACTTAATCCTATACAGTCATAATTACTGTATTGCTGCTCCTGGCACTGTGAATTTCTATATACTATTCGGGATGATATTCAAGTTTTGCATTCATACATGATCCATGCACGCACACACTTACACACATAAATATAGTTTAGGTTTTGGATGGAGTACATTGAGTCTACAGTCAATCGAGGGAGAAGTGACATTAAAATACTACTCATAAGCCTCAGTGTGCTTATGTTTTAATAACAGAATTTTAAAAAGATGTTCCCAAACATATAAATGTATATATTTAGTTCTATCCCCTTTGCCTTTTTAACTGGAGGCTGCTAGCAAATGAGGATTCAGATTTTTGAAGGACTTTGTCTCTGAGAAAGCTCTGACACAGGTCTGTCTGACAGAGGTGTAGCTGAGCCAACTTTCTCTTCTTCAGTACTTTCATCCAAGGCATCAATGTCTCCATGCTTCACAGCTTAGTGCTATTTTGTGAGCAGCATTAGTGGGCACACTCTGAAGAAACCTAGCCTGACATTTCTTCCTTTTACCTGCTATGTAATCCTCTTCATTTAATTAATCATTGTTTGGGGTTTGCCTACATTACCCTCCGTTCTTGTTTTGTCCCTATGGCACATTTTTTGCCCTTTTACTTGTTTGTTATAACCGTTGAATTAAGATCTAGAGAAATCAGTTCATGTTCTCTTTGGCTAATTTAGAAAGTATAAACAATATTCCTGGTCTCTTTTTTGTAGTTTCAATGGAAACTAGAGCAAGAATTCTTACCCATCAATATTTAAAGTCAGTTCTTTCATCTTCCACCCAGGTAATCCATGGATCTTGGAACACTGCAGTATCTCCCATGTGCTATTGTGGACTTTTCACCTGCAAACTTGTGCATAGCATCTTAACTACCTTTGTCTTAATAGTCTAAACACTGTTTATTGAGTTCATATTTATTACTTTATTTGAAATTCTTTTCTGTTTCACCAGAAGAATGTCCTTCAAATTTCCTTTAAAGTGGGCTTGTTGTAGATAAATGTGCTCCGTGCTTAGAATTTGCTTTACTCTCACTCTTGAAAGTCATTTTCTCCAAGCACAGCACAGCACTGCTGTGCCCTCCTCATTCTCTCGGCACAGGGAGTCCATCTGGGCATTGTCTTCTGCCTCTCACCACTTCTTCTACAAAGTCCTCAGCCCAACTCTGCTCCTTCAAAAAGCATTTTCTCCCTTCTTTTCTTGGGATTCCTGGAAGACATTGTCTTCACCATTCTATTAAATCTACTTCCTTAATCCAGATACAGAATTCTTTCTTAAGAAAGAGGTATGAGGCTTTCTCCCCTTCTCTCCCTCCCCTCCCCTCTCCCCTGTCTTCCTCTCCCCTCCCCTCCCTTCCTCTCCTCTCCTCCCTTCCCTTTTCTTTTTTCTCTCTTGGTACACACATTTGTGCCATAGAAATCACGTGGAGGTGGAGGTCAGAGGACACTCTGTGGGAATCAGTTCCCTTCCTCCACTGTGCGAGTCCTTGGGATCAAACTCAGGTCACCAGTCCTGCTAGCAGACACCTCTCCTGGCTGAGCCATCTCTCCAGCCCCTATCAGACTTTTTCTTTCCCACACAACTGAATTATGTCTTTCAACTGCAGGAAATTCTCATCCATTTCAAATATGGTTTCTGCCTCATTAACTTTCTCTTCTCCCTTTGGCTTGATGAACATGCTATTCTCTTAACACATACTTTTCCTACATATGTTTGATTTTTCCACTGGATACTTTGTATCTGGATAATTTACTTTTTGTAGAATGAAAACACCCAGAGGACAAGATCAAGACTGTTTCACCTGTTGCCATACCCCCCAGTACTGAACAGAATACCCAACAAATTCTCAGTGTTTAATTGATGCTTGTTGCATGAACAACTCAGAACACCAGAGGTACTTGTACCTGAGGGGTTACTTCATCCTGAGAGGTGACAGGAATTAAAGAATATCGGAAAAAGATTGTAGATTATATTGCAAACAGCTTTATGTCTTCACAGAGTATCATTTTCTTTAGTTCCTTTTGTGTCCAAGTAGGAATCACTCATTTTCTCTGCATAATCGGCTGCAAGATAAAACATAATGAACAGTGTTTGGTATCTTGGCCAGCAGTCAAGCATCGAAACACACCCTAAGATAGCCAGGCAGTCCTCAGAGGTTCTGCTACACAGTGTTCCAGGAAACCATCAAAAGAACATGTGGTCTTCCTTCTGATTTATTTATTTTAAGACTTGGATAGTTTTATAATAATATAAACATAGTGGCATGTATACAAGATATCCTAGAACTTGCAATGAGCAAAGAAACTCTGACACAACAGTATTGTGCTCATGGTTTACCAAGACTGGGATTCTCTGGCTGCCATGGGCTTTTTCTCCCTCATTCTTGGAATATTAGAATTGTGGGAAAATAATTTGTGAAAACCTTGGATTATATCTGACTTCTAAAGGGCAGTTTGAAATGAAGGGGAATATTGGAATAAAGCATGTGGACTTCTGTTCTGTTTTGAATTGAACTGACTTTTAAAGTAGAACATTAGATTTTTTTGTTTTGTTTTTTGAGACAGGGTTTCTCTGTGTAGCTTTGGAGCCTATCCTGGCACTCACTCTGGAGGCCAAGCTGGCCTCGAACTCACAGAGATCCACTTGCCTCTGCCTCCCAAGTGCTGGGATTAAAGGCGTGCGCCACCAACGCCTGGCTAGAACATTAGATTTTAATACAAAGCAGTTCAGAAAGTGTGGCATCAATGAATAAGAGAGTTCAAAGAAATGGGACTGAAGTTTCCTCCACTAGAGTGACTACAGAGATATCATTCATTTAGCCAAAGCCAAAGTCAGATCCCCATCCCAGAGTGAGTCTTGGGTGAGAGATGCTGTAGAGAGTGGTCCAGCAACACCAGCTGCCACATTCTCCTTGTACACTATTGGACTTTTTTCTTTGCTGCACCTGAGAAATATGAACTCTCTGAACAAGTGATAGATTCAGTATTCTCTATGGCCCTATGCTTGATACTTGCTTGTGATCTTGTGGGGAAAGCAGTAGCTTGGATTACAAAGAATTGGATGCAAAAGTGGGCTGTGTCATTTAGTAACAGTGATGACACAAAGCATAATGGTTACTGTTAAGTGTCAACTTGGCACCACCTAGAATCACCTGGAAAGAGGCCTGTTGAGGGGTTTTCTAGTTCAGGTTTGCCTTTGGGCAAATGTAGACGTGGTTTGCCTGCATGTATGTCCCTGTGCCACATGTTTCCTGGTGCCAGTGGAGGGTAGAAGAGGGCAGGGCTCCCATGGAACTGGAGTTGTGAAAGGTTGTGAGCCCACATATGGGTTCTGGGAACTGAACCTGGGTCCTCTAGAAAAGCAACAAATGCTCTTAACTACTGAGTCATCTCTCTAGCCTTTGAGGAATTGTCTTGACTATGTTAATTTAGGTGAAAGACCCATCTACTGCGGGTATTGTAATTCTCTGGAGTTTTGAACAATGTAACCCGGGAAACTATCGAGAACAAAGCATGCATTCATTCACTTCTCTCTGTTCTTGGCTGTGAACAGAGCCAAAATGTTTCTCAGCCACAGTGGTCTATAACTTGGCATTATGAGATAAAATAAGCATTTTCTCCCTGGTTTACTTTTTGTGGGGCTTTTTTTCCCCCACAGCAACATCATGAAATTAGAATACAAGGGCAGACCTTGTAACTTTCTAGGGTTGGGTTTCTCTCACCTGCAAAATAGAAGCATTGATGTCCAATGTTTATGGAAGTAGTGCGCCTGCTAAATTAGTGTACATAGAACTCTGCCTGGGTTCCTTGTGTGCCTGCTGGCCAGGAGTCCTAATACCCATAATGATCAGTTTCTCTCTAACCTAATGCTGAACAATTGGAGGTTAGAATAATTTCCAATGTTCAAGCATAACACGGTGCTAGTGTTCCTAAGCTCTGAACTCAGGGAAACGGAACTGTTTCTAAATTTATCTTGTCAAATTTCAATGATCATTAAGACGTTTTGAGTAGCTTTGGTAAGGAAGCTTGTGGATTCCTGCCTGTGCTTGCAGTGAGCAGGCTTTGTTGTTATTATTAATTATGAAGAAGATAATGATGATTAACCATCTGCACTACGGCTGGCTGACTATACAGAAGTGTATCATTTGATGAACTCTTGGCAATGGGACTGGGCACTTGTTGTGTGTACTGTCGACTGTTACCTGCATGTGGCGAACAGAAGCTGAGTGAAGCCTCACTAGTGAGGACAGTTTGTCCATTTGGATGTGGACCTCATTTATAACAGGCACAGGGCAAGGTGAAGGCAGCCTGTTCTTTCATTCCTGAATTCTTTTTCTTTGCCTCACTTCAAAAAACATTTTTAGCAAGTGGGATAAATGAGTTGATGATGAATGAGCCTGTTACTTAGGAAGCTGTTAAAATCGTAGTGAAATAAGCTCTGTCAGCTTGGTTGAATTCTCCAACAGTAACCGGCGTGAGAAGGTGTTATGCTGCCATGGCCATGTTCACCCCGGGGAATGATTGACATGTGTGCAATTTAAGAAGCCAAAACAAATTAATCTGGCTGCAGATTGTATTGTGCACACACATACAAAATGTTTTATCTGACTCTCCTGATACCGAGAGCATCCCATTCACTCAGTGTAAAGACTTCCTTGACATTGAACTAGTAAAGAGTATCAGGTAATTTGCTGGGGATGTTTGGTCAGCACACTACTGAGGTGAGTTTGTGGTTAATCAGCTGTAACTTCCAGTTCCAATGCCTTCCTGTTCCTCTGGGGTGGGTGTTTCTGATGATTCCACACTGCCTGCTGGGTCTGGAACTACATGTGTGAGCAGGGGACCATGTCTACCCCTCATGTGAGCCAGCCATCCTTTCTCACTCACACTTTGGATATTATTCGTCATCTCCACACCCCCTGCATTCAGTTGGAGAACAGTAAAACTGGAAGAGACTTTGATTAAGGCCAGATCTTTCTTACTTTTTAATAACTTGAGTGAAATTGAACTTGGGAAGGAGAGATAATGTCATCTCTAGGGACTTTTCAAAGAGCAGATCATGGTAGCCAGCTGAGGCACACATAGGTCTATCCTAATTCACACTTGCCTTTATGCATGGTCGTTTGATTCTCTTATTACCCTCTGCAGGTGAGGCACATAATCTTTGCTTTTTTTTAATTGAAGAATGTTACCTGTAGGTTAGCATTGCCCTGGTAGAATTTCATTCCACATCTTAATAAATCAAGTTATGCCAGGGCATTTACCCCTGCTCCTTCCCACCTCATTTGTATTAACATCTACGCAGCAGGCAGTACTCACCCTTATGAATTTACAATTGACAGAGGGAGACAAACACTGAAAACTAACTACAACCCACATGTTCATAGAAACTTAGATACGTCTAATAACAAAACACCAGAAAGAATGGAAGGTCCTATTTCTTTGATGGAAATGACCAGGACTCTGAGTTGAGACAGAGAACAGGCAACAGTCCTCTGGAACTTATAGGTGAGCTGATAAGATGACAGGAGGATGGCGCGAAAGTGGATCAGGGTGGTAAGGTCCTATTGCCAAAGACAACACCCATGTGTCTCGTTGAACATGGAAAAGTTGAATTGGTGTCTAACTACAGCAGTCATCTCTGATGCCCAGTGTTTATGATACTGGAAGGTACTCTGCACACTCTAAAAGGATAAAGGTAAACATCAAACTAGCTACAAAACCTGTAACCTACTGATGGGGATTCCTTCTGTAATATATGTTTCTCTTATTGGTTGATGAATAAAACACTGTTTGGTCAAGAGCCAGCCAAGCAGGAAGGATAGCAGGGCTATGGGAGGAAGGAGTGAGGAGGCAGAGGGAGGCCACATAGAGACACCATGCTGCCCAAGGAGTAACAGGCCTCATGGCAATACATAGATTAATAGAAATGTGTTAAATAATTAAGACAGAGCTAGCCAATAAGAAGACCTAGCCATCGGCCAACAGTTTAATAATTAACATAGTGTCTCTGTGTGTTCATTTAGACCAGTCAGAACAAGAAAAATTCTAGTAATAACCTACAATAGTGACTTGCCTACCAGGTGCACTACTACTGCATAGCGGCACAAAGCTTGTGGGAGCAACCAACCACTATCTGGTTGAATTTACGGCCCACTCCGACCACAACTGGACAATGTGTGGAGAGTGAGAGACCTTGGCACACCTAGTCCTAAGTGGGATGCCTGCATCTAACCTTGCTCCGAAGGCTCAGGGAACCTTGCAGAAAGAGTGTAAGAACTAGAGGGAATGGACTGTAAGACGCAGTGTCTTCTAAACACAACAGGGCAGATGTGCGTATGAACTCAGAGAGATGGTGATAGCATGCATGGGGGCTTCACAGACCCAAGCCAGGAGGGGCCCAGCACTGAGAAGGGGAAGTGGACATGAGCTCCCCTCCCTAACCGAGATGCTGTCTCCCATTGACAGCCGCTCACAAGAGAAAAGTTAGTTTGCTCCAATGGGGTCTCACTGGGTATACAAACCACACTTAAGGGCAGGCCCCATGTCCAGCAGTAAGTGGCCAACACAAAAAGGGCTCAGTGCTAATTTTGCAGACTTTGGTTTTTTTTTTGTCTCATAATCCTTTGTCTGGAATTTTGTTTTTTTACCTTAGTGGTCTTTCTTGAGCTTCTGTATCATGGTTTCTGATTTTGTGATTTTATGGGTTCTCTCTCTCTCTCTCTCTCTCTCTCTCTCTCTCTCTCTGTGTGTGTGTGTGTGTGTGTGTGTGTGTGTGTGTGTGTGTGTGTGTTTGTGTGTATGCCCCTCATGATTTTTCTCTGTTATGTTCTATTCTGGTTTATTTTTTAATTTGATTGTTATCTAAAGATAGAGAAAGAAGCAGAGTTGGGTGCATTGAGAGGAAACAGGAGAGACAAAATCATGACCAGAATTATTGTATGAAAAAAGTTTACCTTCAAAAACAAGTGACTCGGGGGTCAACAGTGGCCAGTGTGCCTTGAAGTTGAGGGTGTGGGAAGGGGAGGGGGGTTCTACATATCCCAGACAGGTGGTAGATTTGGGCTAGATCATATGAGCACTTGTCATTGGTCTTGATTGATTTTAAGTGCCCTGAAAGTCATAGAGATGTTTTAACCACATTTTAAAAAATACCGACATTTGAAGCGTTGACTGCTGGCCCTGTGAAGGACAGACTGCATGAGAACAAATAAAAAGAGAGGGGGTATTGTGTATTGTCAGGTCCCTGCAGTAGGCTGGTGAGAGAGGAGAGTAATTTGGACTAAATTAATGGTAAACAACAGAGACAGAACTGAACTTATGTGTATTCTGGAGGCTGTATGAGCTGATTATGGGGTGGAGTGTGAGCTACATGAGACAATGAATTATTGTCGGTGGTTTCTATTTGCTGTCATGCAACCATATGGAAGAGAGTCCCACATGTCAGTGAGTCAAGCAGAGCAGCTAAACAGAGCAAACTGAACACTAAAATGCAGCCGTAGGAGTTGGGTACAGGCACACACGCAGAACCCTAGAGCTTAGCAAATGGAGACAGAGGAATCAGGAGTTCAAAGCCAACCCCACCTGCATAGAAAGAGACCAACCTGAGCTTCCTGTCTCAAATAGCACCCTCCTCACACAGCAAACTAGCATTGAGAAACTGCTCTGGAGAGACTGAGAAAACCTGGCATTTGCAAGTATCAAAGTCACAGCCATGTGGATGACAATGACAGAGTGCTTACAGGTTCAACAAAGCTGGACTCAGTGCCAGTCCTCAGTAGTCACGGGAACTGCCGAGCTGGATGACACATTCCTCAGAAACTCAGCAGTGGGCACAGCGATGCTCGGTGGTCAGCGGCTAGCTTGCCTTTAGTCCTGTTCCTTGTTGGTGAAGTGGGGTGCCATCAGAAATGTCACTTCCACTCCGAGTCTCTTTACTGCAGCTCTGTGAGACTGCATGGCTGCAGGAGGCTGCAGATGGCGAGTGCTCCCTCTGTCCCCTAATGCTAGCCTGCAATTCTTATGTTTCATTTAGGAATTAATCACTTACTTCTTTATATCTTCCCTGCTCAAATTTGAGAGACACAGTTGGATAAAATCCCAGCTTCAATGAATCTTTACACATGTAGGTGTGCGTGTGTGTATAATGTGTGAATAATGTATGCATGTACTTGCTCATGTATGTGGAGTCCAGCACTAGTTATCATTCCTAAGAAACCATCCCCGGATGGGGAAGTCCTTCTGTTTGTCTTATTGGTTGATAAATAAAGCACTGTTTGGCCAATAGGAAAGCAAGATAAGTGGGGCTAGGAGTCAAGGAGGATTCTGGGGAATGTAGTAAAGACAGGAGTCACCATGTGATCCCGTGAAGAGAGGATGCATTCCACTGATGCTCTCAATAAGTCTTTATAAAATATATAGATTAATTGATACTTAAGACATAGCTAGCAAATAAGAAATCCTAGTTATTGGCCAGAAGCATTGTAACTAATATAAGACTGTGTGTGTTATTTGGGAGCCATAACATGGCGGGGGAACTCAGGTGGCTGGCAGAAAGGGTTATCGTTACAATCCCCTTGGTTTTTATTTGTGTGTGTGCATATGCCTATGGGTTGGTGTGTTATGTGTATGTGTTCACATGTGTTATGTGTGTATGTTGTGTGTGTTATGTGTATGTGTATATGTTATGTGTGTTTGTGTGCATGTGTGTTATATGCATAGGTTATATGTGTGTATTATGTGTGCATGTGTGTTATGTGTATGTTATATGTGTGTTGTTATGTGTATATGTGCATATGTATTATGCATGCATATGTTATGTGTTTGTTATGTACATGTGTGTTGTGTATGTGTCATATGTGTTGTATGTATGTTATGTATGTGAGTATACATGTTAGTGAGAGCACATATGCCATAGCATGCAAATAGGAACCAGAGGACACCCTAAGGTGTCACTCCCACTGTGTCTGCCAACTTGACTCACCAGCTTCCAGGGGTTCTCCCTATGTCCCATCTCGCCATAGGAGCACCAGGATTTCAAATGCGTGGTGCTGACTATACGTTTTGGGGGATCCAACTGAGACCCTCAAGCTTGTGCCATAAGTGCTCTACCCAATGTACTGTCTCCCCAGCCACTGAGGTTTACACATCTACTTCTGTTACGTGATTTTATTTCTCTGTATCTATGTATTCATCTGTAACAGTGTTTAGTTTATACAGTTGTTTTATATGTCAATCCCAGTTCCCTCTCCCTCCCCTCCTCCCCTGCCCTCCACTAACCCCCTATCCCATCCCCTTTCTGCTCCCCAGGGAGAGTGAGGTCTTCCAGGGGGTGGATCTTCAAAGTCTGTCATATCATTTGGAGCAGGTCCTAGAACCTCCCCCTGTGTCTAGGCTGAGGGAGTAGCCCTCTATGTGGAGAGGGCTTCCCAAGTCCATTCGTATGCTAAGGATAAATACTAATATATTACCAGATGCCCCATCGACTGCCCAAACTGACACCCATGTTCAGGGGGTCTGGAACAGTCCTATGCTGGTTTCCCAGATATCATTCTGGGTCCATGAGCTCCCCCTTGTTCAGGTCAGTTGTTTCTGTGGGTTTCTCCAGCCTGATCTTGACCCCTTTGCTCATCACTCCTCCCGCTCTGCAACTGGATTTCAGGAGTTCAGCTCAGTGTTTAACTGTGGGTGTCTGCTTCTACTTCCATCAGCTACTGGATGAAGGCTCTAGGACGGCGTATGAGGTAGTCATCAATCTCATTATTGGAGAAGGGTGTTTAAGGTAGCCTCTCTACTGTTGCTTAGACTCTTAGTTTATACAGTTGTAAATTCTGAATGAAAGAATGGGCACCAAAGCTTGTGAAAGTGGACATAGCAGCTCTCACAGAGTTGATTCTCTTGCCCTTTATCCCTTAAGTAAAAATTATGAATTCTGCAGTTTTATAGCCTAAAGAAAACTGAATGTTAGGGAGCATCTTTTAGACAGATTACCTGGATAACTGATTGTGAGGTATTAGCATTCCCATATTCACTAGTGACTAAATTCTTAGGTTAGAGTCAGTGTGTTTGCACTGTAGCAGACTTCCCGCTGTTGCAGAACTTCCTGAAGCTGGGCTGGTACTGGCGAATCCTTTATGATGCACACTGTCTAAGAAAGTTGTCTGTGTTTTAATGACAATAGTGATCTCTGAAACAGATAATAAAATAAAACCAAAAGACTGGAGTCCTGTTCAAAGAGAGCACCTACTGTCCTCTGGCCCACAAGCGTGCAGCAGCTAGCCTGATTTTGAGCCATTACAATCAGTGAGGTACTCAAGCCCGTCTCCATCTGCCCTCGGAAGCAGCATCAATTTTCTACCTCTTATTCCCGAGGTGGTCTTGAGAGAATTGCAGAGAAGACAAAGGCCACATCCCATTATCTGCCAAGCTGTGAGGACAGGTTAAAGAGAAGTTAACACTTCTGCTTCAAGCCCTAGTGGCACTCACAGGTGGCTGTCACACTGTCTGGCAAGCCCAAAATCCTCCTGAAATCTTGGCCAAATTGCTTTCTTCACTTAACATTCAATGCCCAGGAGGTGGGAGTCTTCATCTATGCATGCCTGGGATTTCCATCACTTGAAGTTCTGGCCTGTACAGAAAATTGTTCCCTGTGTCTATCCATCTAATCTCTCCCTACCACCATTTGCTCCTCCAGTTCTGACAGCCCTCAGACCAATCCTCCTAAAATTGGTTTTGCATGAAGTCACACTTGATTTTAAATTCTGTACTTTCTCATAATCTGAGTACCAAAGCTAGATAATAGCACAATCTGACCCTAAGCTGCCTGCCTAGCCTTTTCCCTTGCTACTTTCTTTCTTGACACTCATATGGCTGACATTGGGCTGGGCTTTGAGGGTCACAGTTGTTCCTTCCTGTCTCTCGGTACACAGGAGCCTCTTGATTCTATCTACTAACATTTTGCTCAGTGCATCTTCATATTTGACCTGAGCCCCTGACTCATGAATTTCTTCCCTAAAAGGTTCTGTTTTCTTTCATGAAAGCAAGAGCCAGTAACTTATCTTTCTGTTTGATGAAAGAACGTGCCTCTCCCATGGGGAGGGACATGGAGGCAGTTATCAGGATTCTAGAAATGAAAGCTGACAAACTCCAGGAGGAAGGCAATCAAACACATATAAACTTATCTCTAAAAATAATCTGGGCATCTAGTCCTTAGCTCATTTACGATTCAGAACAAACTGGGGGCTTAGTATCATGAAAACACTGATAGGTGAACTGAGGACATCATGTAATTTGTCCAAACACAAGTCCTTAGTTCACAACCCTGATGTCTCAGGGCAGGTCCGCCAGACTTCATGGCACAAGTTTGTTGCAGAGAGCGAAAGATTCACTGTCCCTTGCTGTATTCACAGGGGCCACTGCAGGGGCCACTGGAGCTCCTAGAAGGAAGAAGGGTCCTAGACTCCTGCCCCTAGAAACCTAAAGACTGAAGTTTCTAATTTTGCCAGCAGTTGGAAGCCTGTAAAACACATAGAGAAGTCTAGATTTCTTATTCCCCACACTGGAAACACAGAACAAATCTTAGAAGGGTTACAGCCTCTAGCCGCATCTATCCCTGCCAGTGTATTTGTGTTAGTGCTCACACCCCTGCCCATGCACTCCCCTCCTGCTGGGTCTCTCCGCAGCTGAAGCCATGCCCAAAGGGTGTCGCCAATAATACAAGTACACTGGCAAGGATAGGTGCTGCTGCAATAGCCTGCTGCAAAGGGGAATTATATGGGAACTAACTCTTGAGCAGCAATGATAAGAATCCTACTGGGACTAACGCTCACAAATGCTGGACGGGTATCTGTGCAGGGTGGAGAGCTCGAAACATGGTTTCCTAGGGCCCCGCCTAAGCATTCACGTACACTGAGGTTCCTCAAACATGAAACAACATTTGTTGTGACAGAACCTGGCAACCCAAGTACCAGCTAGGACTTACAGGACGCTATCTGTCTGTCCTGCGTGGTACTTCATCTGAAAGCCACAAGGGAAGCAGAGGCTGGGAAGAAGCTTGGGGACCATGTGCAGTGTAGATCCGATGAAATGAGCAGTCAGGCGGCAGGGCAAGAGTGATGAAGATGGTGCTGAGAAGCTCCGCTGGCTAGATGCATGCTCCAGCTGCAGTTTTCTGCAGCACCCACACATTTATTTTGAAGTGAAATAGGAGGCTCTCCAGGCACAAGGACTCTTTTTAAAATTAATTTTAATTTAAATTAAAAACAATCTTATTTTACATACCAATCCCAGTTCCTTCTCCCTTTTGTCCTGTCATTCCCGCCCCCCCATCCCTCATCCCACCGGCCATCCACTTCTCAGGGAAGGTGTGGCTTCCCATGGGAGATTATCAAAGTCTGTCACATCATTTGGGTCAGGACCAAGGCCCTCCTCTGTGTAGCTGGGCTGAGAGAGAATCCCTCCACTGGGGAATGGGCTTCCAAAGCCCATTCATGCACTAGGAATAAATACTGGTTCCACTGCCAGAAGCCCCATAGACTGCCCAGTCTTCCTAGCTGACACCCACATTCAGGGGGGGTCTGGTTCCATCCTATGCTGGTCCCCCAGCTATCAGTTTGGGGTCCACGAGCTCTCCCTTGTTCAGGTCAGCAGTTGCTGTAGATTTCCCCAGCATGGTCTTGACCCCTTTGCTCATCACTCCTCCCTGTCTGCAACTGTATTCCAGAGTTCCGTTCAGTGTTTAGCTGTTAGTCTGCTTCTGCTTCCATCAGCTCTATGATGTCATATCAGGTAGTCATCAATCTCATTATAGGAGAAGGGTATTTAAGGTAGCCTCTCCATTATTGCTTAGATTCTTAGTTGGGGTCATCTGTGTATGTCCCTGGAGATTTCCCTAGTACACACGGTCTTAATGGAATGGAAATGCAGCCGAGGTATAGGACCATCAGCACAGAGGAAAGGGGAAAACAGGTCCCACTTCCTCCTTCCTGTCAGCAGTGGTTTGGATTAAGACATTCTGCATCACGATGCCCTTCTCTTTTACCCTGTGACAATGCAAATTCTCCATTCACCTTACTAAGCAGCGCTAGATTTTCCTCTGTATACCTATGTTTCCTTATAGACTAGGGGTGGACAAACTTCTACAAAACACCAAACTGCAAATATTTTAGGATTTGCAAGCCACAGACTGTCCCCACCAGCTACTCAGTGTAACGATAAAT